CGCTCTGAAAATAAAAAAAACGCATTAGGATACAAGCGTACCTTTTTTCCTTTCTTTTAAACAAAGCGTCCATCAAACACATAATTGTCGTTTGATGAGTTTTCTTTAATATGTTCCATGTCCGTCGGCATCTTTTAATGAAAAAACTTTCTTAAATAAAAAACGGTGCAAAATGATAAAACATTTGATAATTCATTAATAGTACCTTTCGTCGAGAGAGCTGAATCGGCGAAGAATTCTGAAGGGTCGCGGTTATTTCTTTCAATACGATTCTTTCGCCTTCGCGAGCATATCCTCTTAGGCTCGACATTTTCAGACTTTTTCTTCGATATTTGTCTTGATTCCCTGGTATAAAATTTTATTATGATTTTTATTGTGATTAAAAATAAAGATGAATGAATGAATATAAGCTCACTTAAGCATCCTTACAGCGGATCACTATCGTTAAATTAATTCGACGGCAAGAGCGATCAGTGATAATGGCGCGCAAGGCTCCGCACGTGTATTCTCGTCGCGAGCGATTGCGAGCGAGAGATATCGAAGCGGGCGAGCTAGACCGATTAATACGTAGATGCACGGGCGCGAGCGAATTAATTTAACGATAGCGATCCGCTGTAAGGATACTTAAGTGAGAACTCCGGTATCGAATATACGACGGGACACCCAACACACCGTACTCACCGTTGACCGTGTGTAGGAATTTGGTACCGCAGGAGGTCGATTGCCTCCGGGTGTCGGCCTACTGCGACCGACCCGAGCACGAAGCACGACGGGAAGACGCGAAAAGGCCCGGGGGGGGGGGCCCATGCCGGGAATCAACTCGCGGCTCGCGGCACGGCGCGGCGATTCCTGGAATCGTGCGGAGCGCGAGGCAGAAGTAAACAAACTAACAAACTCGCGACGACGACTGTTCAACATTTTTACGAAAAATTCTTTTGAATCTACTAAATAGACATCGATAAATATGATAAATATTTGACGATAATATTACGATAGAATCTAAAATCTTAAATTCACCTGGACTCGAGCGTGTGTGTACATATATCGTATGTCATAACGTTTATAGTAAAAATGAAACATAATAGTACGATATGTAATTTGTTTCAAAATCTTTATTAAACGTAAATATACATTACTGTAATTATATATATTGATATAATGTAATGTATTAGATTACATTGATGTAGGTGTATAATATTACATTAATACATGTAATATAATTATAATTTTGTGTATACTTGTTGGATATTTCAATGAGATTTTTAATCTAATTCGCTCTTATTCTACATCTTACAATTAATAATATAGAACGTGTGTAATACGTGACTTATGCATTTGTAAAACAATCTACAATTCGTATAAGCATTCAGAATAAAAATGTATTTTTTAATTTTCTGTAGCTATTGGATATTTACGTGGAATTTTTACATTAAAAGCCAGAATCTTAATAATAAATACACATATGGAATACATGACACACGCGCACGCGCACACGTCTATATAAAACGATCGATAATTGTGTAAAAATTCAGGAAATATAATAGAAGTGTATTTTTACTTTTATAAACCACGTAAAGCCCACTTTTAACGATGTACATGTATAATAATTCGCGTCGGATTTCAAAATAGAATTCCATTTATAATTCCATATACCGCGTATTTTAATATGTACGTATTTCATACATATTTTATATACGTGGCGTATTCTGATTCTTTAAATGTTTATCGTGTTACACGGCACGTAAAATGATAAATAGAGTTCTAGCCTGAAATGTGATGCGAATTATAAATCGTCTAAAGTGGATTTAATACGAAGACTGTTTGCAGAGTCAGGAATACAGTATATAGAAAATATATTTATATTAAAAAATACATACGTAATATCAAAATGCGCGACATGTACAATTATAAACAGAATTCTGAAATCTCACGTGAATTATAGATCGTCTGAAATGAACTTAATACAGAAAATATTTAAAGAATACACAGAGCAACACTCAGCTAAAATACGTAATATTGAAATATGTGACATTAACACATATATGCAAAATATATGTATGTAATATCGAAATGTGAGCGATTAGCGATATGTCAAATTATAAATAAAATTTTAGAACTTGAATTTATAGATAAATGCTTTCGTGGTAAATTTCACGAAAACCTTTATCTCATCTTACACGTAAACGCAGCTTCTAACATGCAGTTTTTCTACATGTGATGAATGATTTAATTCTTTGTTTTTCTAATGACATGTAACGACGTTGAAACATTATATAGGTATTCACGACATAGCGTGTAAGTTGAGATAAAATGTCTGTATTCATACGAAATAAATAAAACGTTAGTTTTATCTGAACGATACGTAAGAGAAAATGCAGAATTATGGAAAATAACAGTGCATCTCTAATTCAATACTAAAAGAAATTGAAGCATGTTAATAACATAATTTTGCTTTTTTTATACGAAAAACTATTATTAGCTCTTAATTCGCAATATTACAAGCATTTATATATTTACTGTCGCGATAATAAGAACCATTACCTGTTCGTTTTATAAGAAATATATTAAACGAAAGGCAGGAAATATGTCGTGTATTATACCGCTATACGGAATCACCGTGTCGTTTTAAAATTTAAATAATGTCCATCGTCGTAGAGAGTCTCGTATAACCGGCGCGTAGCAAGAGAAAAACGGTGCCTCGCGCGTTTCCCCGCAGCTTTTCCCATTACAAAGTAATCTCACGGAAAAGCGAAGCGAGAGATCGTCCCTCGTTACCCGCGCGCACTGAGAATGGATTTATTCGTTTCTACGCTGCTATTGCCGCTACTGCAGAGAGAAAGAGATGCAAAGGGGGCACTCCGCCGTCCACTTGCCGGAGATCGTCTTTCGAAACGTCTCCGTACCGGGTGACACAAAGATGAACGTGAGTGCCTTTGTGCGCCGAAAATCGACACTCGAGAGAGAGACGAGTATAAACGCGCGCGAGCCTATCGTTTCGTGCGCGACGCTGCTTTGAGGCATTTTACATCTCCGTAGACGGGAAGGAAAGGAAGACGGCTACGCGCGCGCACACACACGCGGAGGACGTCCAATCCTTTCCTTTAATCCTCCTTCTTTCTCCCTCGGAACTCGGAACGAATGAGATTCGAGAGGAAAAGGACTGATGATGCTCGGCGAGAAATGGAGGAGGAAAAAGGGCAAAGACGAGCACCAAAGTGCTCGAGAGAGAGAGAGAGAGAACACGGGGCGGGAGAGGAGAGGAGAGAGCGCGATTTTGATCGGAGAAAAGTAGGAGCACTCGATCGTGAAGCCTCGCGAGAGGGTGGCACAATCGGAAGCTCTCCATGTCGCCTCGACTCGAGACGAGAGAGAGAGAGAGAGATTCTCGCTGGCTCGCGACTCGGCGTTTTCCGAGCGGAGTTTTACCGGCTTCTCCACCACGGCTACAATCGAACGCCGTACTTTATCTTTTGCCACTTTGCAGAACGGGGAATTTGACAAACGGTCTTTTATCTAGCTGCGTTCCTGACGCGCGTGGCGAATCGCTACATCCGACACGCGATCCTACATATTTTTTGGTTCTGATGGGAGAAATATTTGCATATTTGTTGCGTAAACGGGATCAGTTTGTGCTGTCCGTGCGCATTGCACAATAGAGCCGAACAGAAGAAATAAGGTAGTCAGAATAAACGGAGAATGATATAGAAATTAAACGAGTGATTTTCCCAACGCATTCCAAAATTTGAACACATAATCAAAAGTTTAATAAGAAAGATCCCGTATAAACTCCGAAGAAAATCTTTTTCAAGAGAAACGGGACGGAGAGGTTAGAGCAATCTGCATCCCGGATAGTGCTCAATGAAAGACACTTTCCTCTCCGTGTCCGCTCCTTTCTTTTCTTCCGGGACCGCGCGGAAAGCCTGGCAAAATGCTCGGCGAAATGAAAATTTATTGGCAATATCGCGACATGGTCGGGCAGGGTTGGCCCAAGCCGGGGCCGTAGCTCTTCTATGAAAAATACATTCACGTAATACGTTTCAAGTCGTCCACCCCTTCCCGACGGGCGGTCGATTGTCTCGCGGGACCGAAACGCATGTACCGCGCGCGCAGCGGCGATTCCGCTCGTGAAATACTACCGCGTTATTAAGACCCGCATTCGGGAGCCCGCCCCGCTCCGCGCCCGCGGAGGAATGCATTATGCGAATTTATATGCGCGCATATACGAGAGGCATGCCGTAAATTTGTCGCGAGATTTATGCAATGCCGATATATATCCCGACGCTCGATATATCGCGCGAATAACGGCCGCACGCAAGCCAATCGATTCGAGAGCATCCGGACAAATCGCACGGATAAGATATCCTCTACCTCGGAACTCCGCGGAATTTATTGAATTCCCATGGACACGCGCAACTTTTAAGTACTTTTACGACACGCCTTACCGTACTTCCGAACTCCTCCATCTAACGACTCGGCGATCCAAGTCCGATCGGCCAACTTTCCAACTAAATTTTTTACACGGGCATTTAAATTGTGTGATTTTACTGCCGAAACGTTACACATTACAATCTTAATAAAACCTTACAAATAGTTTTTAAAGATGTATTCACATAAAGAAATTATAATATCTATTAAAATCTAAGATGTTTTATTTCTTTAAAAAAAAAAATGCAGTTTCTGTATAAGAAACATCGCCACCTGGTCCTCCAGGTTGGGGGTTGTGCGTGGGGCTGACAATCGGAAAAATCTAAACAATTGCGAAAAATTTAACAAAAGAAACCGGACAGTCCGCACGAAGAGATGAATGGCAGAAAATTGTTAAATTAAGCCAAGGCTGATTTAAGCTGTAGCGCCATTGCAGAAGAAGAAGAGTTACTTACTTTTATTATCTCGAATGTCCATTTTATAGACACGGTTAATATTTCATGCACATCTCTGTAATTTAAAATATTAAGAAATATTACACTTTGCAACTTGTCAAGTATTCTTAGGAATAATACGGTGAATTTCTGAACCACCGTACATTAGACAATTTCTCATGCCGCCTACATAACTCTTGTTTCTTGTGAAAACTTCTTACAAAATTCTCTCGTAGCACAGTTAAATTTCTATAAGTATAAATTAAACATTGAACGGAATTCTTTGATGGATTATAAATGTGGAAAACGGGAGAACGCTCCTTATGTTCCTGAACGATTCAAAATCCGAGCGTGCTGTCCGATCGGGAACTGTCAGTGACTCCATAGAGAGAGGATCCTGGGGATAAACGCTGCTGGATGTCGTTTCTAGGTCGACGTATCCGAAAAGCCAACGAAATTGAACCGCTCTCCCCTTTCGTGCCCCTCTTGCCGCCTCTTTGTCGCGCCAACTGCTTTGCCTTTCGATGAAAAATTATTCGTCAACGAGGTAGAGTGCGAGAGACAGAAGGGGGGCACTGGGCAAAGTGACAGAGAACTAGAGAGAGGGAGAGCAAGGCAGACTATTTGGAGATTGTGTCAGTCTATACGCTGTCATCGAACACTTGAAACCATCGCGTTGCAACTCCGTTGAAAATCGATTATGCGACGAACTTGGCAAGCGAACGCGATGGAATATTATAAATGCGCGATCGATGAGTACAACAATAGAAATCGTGTTGAGATATAAGCGGCATTTGAGGTGACATCTTTCGAATCTGCCTCCATTTTACACATTAGCGTTAATTTTATGATCCTTGTAAACAGTAATTTATAATTTCCATTTAACGAAATGAGTTTTTTTTT